ACTGGAGCAAGCGCCTTTATGAGATTCTCAGATATTTCGGAGAAAAATCCGTCAAAAGCAGTTCATTGCCTGTGATTCGTAGGACGGCTATCTGGAAGGATACGCTCCCAATAAGCAAGGAATCCTTTGAATGCTTGTGAAGCCTAATCGGACAATTGAAATACAATTGAAACACTTAAGACTCGATAGGGGAGCTATTATCCTCTTCCCTCTCCCCTCATCAAAAGTAGTGCGAGCCCTGTCCCGATTCCCACTTGAATTAGCCATTCTGGGAGTCACATATCTGCCTGAGTGTAGGCCGATTAGGGAAACATGGGACATCCTAGGTTTTTCGATTATGGCCTCACTAGCCACGCACTGGACCACTTGGAATACCCCTTCCTCATATTCCATTGTGACAGCTCGTCAATCTTCGGTCAAAAAGCGAATCTTTTGGGAAACCCCTTGCTCTAATTTAATTACTCTAGCGACCCACACTCGATTTTAATCATTTTCAATATTTCAGAATACGTTTTTGTGATGCGAGGATGTCTGAACCTTTTACTTCGTCCCGATTACTACCTCAGTAAAAACACAAAATGCACATATAAAGGTCCATCAGTATGTTTGTGTCAAACTGATTTGTGCAATTCATCGGGTTCTACAGAATTCTTTCTTATACTTTTTATTTTGTACATAACATATATTTTGACGAGATAGGATGTTCGTATGGACAATGTATGTTACAGTCAGGAAACTATTTGCATTTACAAAAGAGCTTTCAATAAATCTTCATTGCCATCAAATATATTCAGACACTGGATGATTAGTGATGAGATCAAGGCGATTTGTTCACAACGTTATCAACCTGGGACGAGATACCGGTAGTCGTTTTGGAGAGCGAGGTCCTAGCTGGCCACACGCGACTTCATAATGGACAGGAAATTACGCACATCCCACTCCTAAATGTTAGCGGATTAAGCATTAATGACAGGATATAGACGTTGCCTGGTAGAAGACAGGCGCAATTGGGAAAGGCGGTCAAAATGATCGTAGATAAGGTGGTTTTCGTTAAAGACAAGGCGCTGACATAATCGCAATATCAAAACATATGGCTTCGTTATAAACGTCCCAGCTTCAACCATCTGGCATTGAGAGTCTTAGAAATAGCACTGCCTACAAACGCGCCCTTCCACTTATCACTGTCACACCGAAGATGAATTTGTTTGTAAAATAGGACTCAAATTTCCATAATTGCTTTCTTGCCCATAAATTGTAACTGAAGGAGGAGCTTAGGTCCGCTATCGTAAATCAGAGACCAATTCTATTTTATGGAATACCGAGCATATGTAACGTTAGGGGCTTATACAAGACCTCTTTCCTTATCAAATAGACTGTAGCGATATTGTTCATACTGCATGAGTTATGGTTAAAAAAAAAGTTTGACGTAGCGAACGTCTCAGCAAGGATCAAAATCGAAAAGCATTTTTTCACGTATTTTGCACCGCCGCACGTAACCACGGATTAAACTCACATGGCAGTTTTCACTGAGCGTTGCTCCATTATGTACAATCTGTACAGTCACTTTCCGATTGAACTTCAGGCCATGAAGCAGTTTTGGTGTCAGTCTGAAAGCAGACAAATGCCGGGGGTAGCTCTAGAGCAATACTCCAGCTATAAATGCTACCAATACATCCGCAGAGGTTTGGAGAAAAGGGAGGAAGTGTAACTTACAGGAAATACTGCGTTTTGGCGAGATTTCCTTCTCCACTGAGCGTGTCCACCATAATACTAAATACTTTTCGCTCGTTTACTGGATCCATGCCTAAAAAATACAACGGAGTAAACAGAGTGGTTTAAAAAAGTCGATGAACTTTTTGCAGGCTGTATCGATAAGAGAAATATAAGGCAAACAAAGAAAAACTTCGCAGTATGGTTTTACTAAGGAATAAAATTTGAAAACCTTGTTTACAGAAAGTTACATCAGTGACTTATCTTCACCTTGATTGATTTCATCCACACAACGAAACGGGACGGGGCACAATTCTTGAAGTGCCAGCAAGTAAAGCATAGTAGAAACACTTCGTTCACCTCCCGATTGGACCTTAAACACAGCTTGTTTGCATTGTAAGTAAATTATAAGTAAATTGACACCATGAGTGTAAGTTATTTAGCATCAGAACCTGATGATCCAAACGCCGAAGTCGTTCACCATTACGGAAGCTGACCATAATCATAATTCCATAGCCATCTATATTAAGCTGAAAATAGGACGAATGCGAGGAAAAATCTCGATCATCGCGTACTCCAGAAATGCACCTACAGGATCTTCAGGAATCTCAAGATACACTTCGCCAGCACATCCCAATGTAGCAAAGAATTTTGAATAATTCACATTGATTTTTCGAATAAGATCTTCCACAGGTTCCCTCCATTCCATAATTTCCTGAACAAAACACTTTTTCGAGTCCCGTATGGGACACTGCATTTCGATACCAGACGCACCTTAGTCAAATTTGCCTTCCATGCTTCCCTCGTAATTTCCTGCTGAACCTTACGATCCAACAGGATGATCTTCTCCTGTTTCAGACGCTCACAACGATCGACATCCTAAAACAAGATCGAGGAGATCGCGGGTTATACCATTCATTCAAACAAGCGAACATTCAACGAAAAGAAACGTTTGCAAATTTTTAGTTCGCTCGGAATGGTTCTCAACGTTGACTCATTGGCTCACCTCTTTGCTTCCATCTACACTGGCTATGTTCAGTTTTACTTTTTCTTCCTCAAGTAATCGGAGAACTGCCGGCCTGTCATCCGGGATGTTTTCATCGGCAAACAACTGAATAACAGAAGTTGATAGGGAAGCAGCAATCATATCGGTGTAAGATTGGGCTTATTGAACCCGAAATTCCGAAATGACCACTCAGAATTTAACTACTCCAGTTCACCATCAGATATTGCTGCTTACCTTCTCAAGCTGTTTGGGGATTTCTTTTTCTTCTGCCGTCATTTCACTCTCCTCCAAGGTCTTCAAACCACAGTATTCATAGAGATTCTCTGCAACTCGTCCCAGATCTTCCTTTGCACTACGGAATACTGTCAATCTACCTTCCATAAGAGTCTGAAATCGCTCGTATAGATACAATCGTTTCGCAAGCAAAATGAAAAGAGAGAGTGGAACTAACCAATTCCTCTTGCAATTTCTCTTCAACAGCAAGTACTTGCTGCTCAACTTCCGATAGCGACTCTCGCAGACCTTTTAAAGCTATACGGAGAAGTGATTCTTCAACATGCATCTTACGCAGTTTCTCCTGAATCACCAGATTTCCTGAACTTCAGAAACATAGAAGGCTTCTAGAGCTGTTTACCAATTTCTGCAGAATCTTTAGAACCGTTTCAAGGGCTTCTTTACTCGCTAAAACCTTGGTTTCTTTGAGAGCTGCACGAGCTTGATCTATATTCGGCCTGTTTGCAGACAACATCTCGAGCCTGGATTATTTCATTCCAACAGGAGAGTCATTTTAACCACAACAATTTAATATAATTCGCAATCAATGGAAAACAGGCTGTACTCCCAACATCCTACGGAATAGTCGAACTCACTTGTTTTCTCGATTACTCAAAGATCGCTCAAGGTTAGTGAGCTCGTCTCTCTTAGTCCTCCATTCAGCCTGAAATAGAAGCATAACCAAGGATCATTTCGGTAGGAAATACTTGCAAAAACCCCTTGTTGCGGGCATTCTTCTCCTGGATGATGGAGGAGATATTCTAAACTTCACCTGTTTTGCTTTCAAAGCCTCTCTTTCCTTTTGAATACTGGCCCTTTTCTGACTCACTTGGCTTCGACGATCGCTCAGTTCTTTTTCCTGAACAGTATGCCGATGAAAAAGATCACACAAGAGATGAACTGCCGCTTGTATGTTTGCTCAAAACTGTTTAGAGCCAAATAGCTCACTACGTGTAACCAAGGATGGATCAGCTTAAGAAGAACTGCTCAAAAAAAAAAGAAGGAAAAGAGCGCAGAGAAGTCAAGCTTTCCCTTGCGTGTTGTCTATTTCAAAAATTCCACTTCCTAGATCGAGTCAACACCGCTTAATTAAACCGTTAACAAAAATTCAAGTAATAAGTCAAAGCCATACACAAGCACGAAGTCGTTGTCGCTCCTCTTCAAATTTGCTTTTGTCATCAAGGGATGTTGTATGAGCTACAAATAATCGGGCAGGAGATCTCAGTTCACTTTGTTGACCGATAACTTCATGAGACCCATATTTTGACACAGTGAATTGCACCTGAAAGTCACACCATTATGTGAACCTTTGTTGGTTGTTCAAAGTAATCCCGCCACTGGCTCTACTTGTGACAGTTGACCGAACCATCACTAATTTATACTAAATAAAGTAGGCATGGCCCAAAAAAGCAATAATGAAAGGATGACCCACCCGGTACCTATCCGTGAGGTACAACTTATATGGAGTGTTCGTGAAAGCCGATTTTATCTCATCGTACAAATCATTCGATCTTGCTGATCCTATGGGTACTTGATGCAACTGAAAAACAGAATAAAGGCTGATAGTTTCGATTGATCACAACATAAGTGAGATTGGCAGATTAATGACCAGAAAAACTTACACGAGCGACATTACATAAGTATTGCTTTACGACATCGGGGGCAGTGAATAGATCGGCAGCAAAACGAGTGAAGCCGAATCCTTTCATTTCTTGAGTTACGGTCGTGGACAATGCAGACAAGTTCACCTGAATAGTTCCGTTTAGGTTGAGGCATCACCCTGCTCAAGCCTCCCTTCATGCGATAGAACACAACATCAGGACTTCTCTACCCATTTTTATTGAACTACCGAATAATCCATGAGCAATCATACCTGAGAAGGAGGAACAACAGTCGAGTTGAGCTTCCAGTTGTGCTTGCGGTCAGTCAAAAGAGTCTCATCTTCCTTACAACCAAAAATGAACATGGGCAGATCTCGGACCGCTATCAGATTCTCAAGTAGCATTGCAGCTTTAGCATCAGGCACCGTCATCTGCAGAAAAGATGTGTATAACATCAAGACTACCAGGAAATTGGCTGCCTACTTACGTGAAGGATCGGGACGTAAACTGGATGGCGAAATTTGTCTCGATTTGCCTGGTACCATCGCCAGGCCTCATCAGCCATATTACTGCGTAGGTTTTCCAGAATCCGCACACGGCCTTCCATAACTTGATCAATTCGCCGTGCCTCATCTCTTAACTCTAAAGCACAGGTGGAACAATGAGATGTGGTCAAAAATGGATAAACGGTAGTGACAGTGTGTTCTTTAAAACAATGTCTATCAATTTCCATTACACTCGAGTTCACGACATTAACAGGACTTCTTCTTGGACGGAAAGCATTGTTAACGAGTGATAAGATTAAGTAATAGTAATAGTAATATTGAGTTATATTAAAAGTTGCGGCCGGAAAAGATGTCATGAGTAGGGGAGTGAAAATAGAGTATTACGAGCTCATAACCAAAACCAAAAAAAACTAGTCAAAGAATCTCTGCATGGTTTTCACGTTTTTCAAATGAAACTTTTTTTTGATAAGTCACAGAATTGGAGATAGCCAAAATGAAAGATTTAACGAAATAGTAGAACGAATACTCATTAAAACTTTTTAGGACATAAATTTCGGCGATGGCACATGTCAAAGACCACGTATTAAGAAAGAAAAACTGACTCATTTTTTCGGAGTTGAGTTTTCTTTCTTCGGCCTGCAATTCTTCTTCCATTTTGCAAAGACTATCATCCTCTTTCGCATGTTGCTGAGTTTTTTGGGCAGTCTCTTTTTTGAACTCCTAAAGCCATTTTCGAATATTCGAGAGTGTTGAGATAAAAAAAAACAAGAACACTGTATTTCAGCTATACCTCATATCCTTTCATTTCCTCCTTAGCAGCCGATACATTCTCTCGTACGCGATCTACCTGCTTTCGCATCGAATCCATTTCCTGTTCCCAACTGTCATTTTGCTTTTTCAAACGATTGAATCGCTCAGTCGCGTCACGTACCTGAAACTAAGAAATAAAAGTGACAAATTGTGTGATCACAACAGGATTGTCCAAAAAATAACCTTATCAGCGTATAAATTTATATTCTTGAGAGCATCGACTTCATCTGAGATTCCTCGTGTTTGACGCAACTGAATAGCGACGGTTTACTGCCCACAACTCCTCTTAGAAAAAGATAATAACCTACAATGTTATTCTGCTTCGATAAATATTCCTTTTCCCGCTCTTGTTCCTTTTCTATTTTTGTCCGCAACTTCTTTATCTGAAAACTTCTGCTGCAGAGAAACATGCCCAAAAGACGGATTGCCACTATAAGATTGCAAGAACAACCTACCTTCTTCTCAGTGTTCTTCACAGCAAACTGAACTTGATCTACAGCGGCTTCCTCAATCGCAAAACGCTCTTTACTTTCTTTGTAGTCCTTGAATATCAATGATATGCATCATTCACTTACTTCGAGAGAAAACTGATTATAGTCTTTCACCGACCAGAATTGCCTTCTTCTTTTGAAGGATTTTAATTTTTGTTCGGAGGAACTCTTTCTTCTTGTAATTCTCGACACGTGGGAGGAGCATGGCAATCTCGCCTGATTGAAAAGGATCTATTGAGTTAGGATACCGAAAAACTGCAACAGAATAATTACCTTCAATTGACTGAAGGCGATTTTCAACTTCACGAGCCTTTTCAATATGAACACTCTCGTGTTTCTTTTTTCTGATCAGTTCTTCATGCTGCTCCAATAGTGACGCGTTTCCAGCCTTTAAAATAGAGACCTTTAGAGTTAGTATAAATGAATATGCTGTGAAGATGGTTAAGATGAAGTTTCGCTGAATCCTTTATTTGTCTAAGCGATCATGTCTCCGCTACTGGACATCTAGCAACTGCTAGCCTGAGAGATCATAGGCAGTAACATGTGCATAGCCCTTCCACAACCGGATATAGAACAAAAGAGGGAATGCTAACAAAACTATAACAGAAAATTGAGAACACGGAGCATCCCAAAATGGTGTCAAGAAGCGCTCTCAACCTTTGAATATTACGCAGCGACATATGAGTAGTAATACTTACCCTAGGAAGGACAAAAATATCAACGAGTTTTCAATCTTTTTCCGTCCCACCTATACTTCAAAACATACCCTCTCAGTGTTCATAAGAAGATCAACGGGACTTTGCTCCGAGAAGCTCTTCACTTTGTCTTGTGCAAGAAATGTACAAGGGTTGTCAATCTGAAAATGATGAAAGATATTTCGAAATTCTATCATGAGTTGGTATTCGAACAAATCTCAAAACCAATACCTTAAAAACAAAAAAGTCACTCAACTGAATGTTGTATGAAGCAACAAAATCGCGAACAGCTCTCTGAGTAGTTCTTGAACCATTTATGAAAAAAGAACACGCACTCGGTCGCTGGAGAAGAATTTTCACACGCTGTTCGCCTTTAGTGGAGTCCGCTCTGGAAACGAAGCAAGCTGACGAGCTAGGCCATGTTTCAAAAAGAGCAGGAATGACAGACATTTCAGAAAAGCAGCTACTTCTTCAGAAAAATGTAGTTTATGCCGAAAAATTGAATTAAGAATTCCACAGACTTCAAAATTTCAAATGAAATGACGAAAGTATACACCCACATATACACCTCGACAAATCCTTCATCACGTTTATGCTTGATATAATCTCCCATTCGTTCGGATCGTCCGAGTATCTTCGGATTTCCACCAACAGCAAGACATATTCCACAAATTACCGTGCTCTTGCCGGCTCCGTTTGTTCCAATGAACATGTTCAGATTGGGACCCGGCTTACATTCAACATCGTCATACGTCCTGCAAATGCCACTTTGAATCAACGTGCTTTTCCGAAAACCAAATCTCTAAAAGCTGGAACAATTCACTCACAAACGCCGGTGCTTCTTCCCTCTAGAATTAGGTTAAAAAGAAACTTAGCCAAAAACTTTTCAAGCACCATTAGGGGCTCGCGAAGTAGGCTACCACTCCTTCTCTGCACCCTAGCGCTCGAAGTTGAATAGGGTGGTCTCTCCCACCCACCTCCCCAAAGTGCATAAAAGTCTCACAAGTATGGTTGATGATCGAAACATTGTAGAAAATACGATATTTTTGGCAGGCTTTCTTTAAGACGGATTAGGAAGTTGACATCCAACCCATCAATATCTTCCGAATAGTCGGAAGCTAAAAGCCTTTGAAAATACAGACAGACAACTTCAATTTCAATTTGTCCGTATAAGAGGATTCAAAATAATTAAAACTGACCGTGAATCAGATAAAATATCTGTCGACCCTTTATTAAAACGAGCTCCAAACCCGATGAAAACAAAACTCACAAAAAGTTATGGTAGACGATTTTCGTTATGGAGCCATCAGGATAAATTTGAGTAGAGTCCGATGTGGCCTCCATGTTGGAAAATCCAGCAGGAGATCAAAGGAAACTTGTAATCGGGTACGGGGAAATTCAAATAAACACTTTAAAACAAATTGTGTGATTGCGTATTTCCGATCACTACCGCAATCTACGCCTAATTAAATTCTCCGAAAGGTTGCAGGTGAGGCCTTTTAGACACCGTTTGTGTACCTTTGCTGTTCTTTTCACCACCAATGCCTGGGTATTTCTATACCAGCTTCCACCCTTAGCTGCCACCTCAAGAGCCTCCGTCTCCATACTCCATACTTTCTGCCGTTCTCAAGCCTACTCGATTCAACGGACAGCGGTTAAGCCTTTTTAACCCATTCTTTTGTTATCGTGCCATTAATCTACTGCTGCTATTCGTCGCCGAAAATTACTGAAAGGAGTTCCTCCAACAACACCGATATCACTCGAATAGAAATAAATCTATTGGCTAATTCGAATTTGTAGAGGTGTCCTGTCCACGGGCCCTGGTATGGAACTCACGTAAGAAAAGATTAAAGGGGAAAATCATCGGCAGAACTGCCTGTTTTTAGGTAGTGCTATTGAAAGCATTCCGCTGAAATCGAATTTCATGTTTTTGAAACAAATCGAGAACCGTCTGCTATTATAAAATAACCTGTTTCTAAAGGACAACTATAGGGTGCACCAGTGGGGTGCAGTCTTTTGGAGTTTGAAATTAAAACGATTTATTCAGCATTATTATCCCGTCGTTACTTCAATGGAAGCGATTAAATTGGTTGGCATTCAAACACATTTTTGACATTAAGTACAGAAAATCATCGGAAAACTGATCGACGAATTCCGCGGAAATTGGGAAACGGTGCTGCTCGTCGAACGGGTGCCCGTCGTCGTCGTATCATAGTTTCAGCTGTTGAGGAAGTCATGGCACTGAAAGAGAAACTCACGAGGACTCCTCACAGGAGATGTCCAGGGACGGCTCACCTGATTACAAGGCTGAGATCTCGTTGTTGTTGAGGTGACAGATCAATTACTCGTCCATCCTGAATGACAATGAGATTGATCGGTTGCTGGGCGTTCCTAGATGGTGGTGGCGGAGGTGGCGGTGGAAGACTTCCTTCTGGAGCCGGTCGCATTGGCAACGGTGTTCGTGCTGCCATCTGTAAAATAAAGATGATTCCTCAGATGTATCAAGGTCTTCGTGGTGTACCCTACCGGCTGACGTCTCTGCGGTTGTCTAGTTCTAAACTGCCCGTTACCCCTTCTATTCTGTTGTGGTAGGCCGGAAGTTGGCGTTCGAGGTACGACCACGTGGTTCATTACCTGAAACAGCTATTACCTACTAGGGAGACTGCAGAGAACGAGGATTCGAGTGAAAAAGTTGCACCTCTAAACTGACTTGCTGGGGTCTTGACTGCAACCTTGCGGCTGGTCTCGTTGCGGGCTGTGTTGAGACGA